ACAGAGAGTGACCTTTGTGGGCCAGCAGGTGGTGTGGTGGTTAAGGTGTTCATCCCACATATCCAACTGCATACCAGACTCGGCTTGGAAAAAAAGAAAAAAAGAAAACAAAACCACCAGGCACATGTGCATGCATGCCCAAAATCCTAAGAGGAGAGTGGAGGGGAAGGGACTGCAGTATGACCAACCCCCACGGGGATGTCTGTTACTGGCAAGTGTACATAGCCTACAGCAAAAATTTTTTAAAAAGGAAAAAAAAAATGTGTGACCTTTACTATTTTCAACTTAACCTTCAAAAAGAAAGGTTGCCTATACCCCCATCTTGTTTATTGCAACATCCCTTTTGTATACACCTGATAAATATGAAGTGGTAACTCATAAATCCCCACATTGGAAACATCTTATTCAAAACAACTACCTGTTACTCTTGGGATGCCAAAGGGGTTACCAAAAATGGAACTCCTCCTAGCCCTGGATCCAGACTGGTTGAGAAATAAAGCAAAGTTTAATAAAGACAGGAAGCCCAAATCACCTCTAACACAGGGAGCAGACTGGGTGGAGGGGGGTCAGGTGTATTAGCCATGTGCACAAGCTAACAGAGGGCTCAGGAACCAGGCAACCTTGCTCTCCTGGTCACAGGCAAGCACTGACCAGGACAGGCTTCCCATGAAGGAGCAGGGCTGACCGCCTGCTTCCTGCTGCCAGCTCACTTTAAAGAAGGGAGGAGAAAAGAGAGCAGCTGCCATGCAAGGAAGAGAGACCTGGACCCTGTAGAGCTGAGCCCCACCACTGTCTGTAGGCCAGGACTCCTCCTAAGAGGAAAGGCAGAGCCTTCGGGCATCTCCATCAGAAAATTCTCCTCTCACAAGGAAAGAATAGAAGCTCTGAAAGAGGCCCAGAGCGTGGTGAGGAAAACCCTCCGACGTGGAAATCAGAAGTGAAGAGAGCTGTTTTGTGCTAACACTTGCCTCTGCAGGTATTTTTGATGTAATGTAAAGAGTATGCTCTACATTTTCCCTCTCAAGGGACACCCTATCAAAATCACTCCTTAATATCGAAAGGACATCTCGTCTGACTTTGGTGACCATCACTGTCTGCATCCCGTCTTACTCTGCATCCAGATGGTACAAGCAGGGTTTGTGCAAGTACAGTCAGCACTGGGGGACACTCAACACAGCTGAAGACCCTGGATACCAAGGCCCTTCCCTAAGAGAGGCAGAGCAGTAGAAATTTCCTCCTCGAAAAACTCAATATTGCTTATTATCAACAGCTAAAAACAAGGCATTATAAAACAGGACCTCCCAGGTACCGGTCAGGAGTGGCACAATGAAACTGAACTGTTACAGTCCAAGCTGAGCCATGTGGCTCGGGAGAAGCCCTAGAGGACTCGGGAGGTCAAGCTCACCCATATACTGGAGAACTAGCCAACATATGATGACTTACTGTAAATGTGTCTGGCTTATTATAGAAAGAGATATTCTAAAATTCAATATATTAAATAAAACTAATCTGATAGAGATGACTTTGGCAACTAATAAAAAGTATGCCTATTTTTCATTGCAAAGACAGATAAATTTTTTTTGAGAGGTTTTTGCTATAGGGCGCGTGCACTCACCAGACAGAGAGAGACAGAGAGACAGAAAGCGAGAAATCACCCCCCAGGGGGGATGGCCACGCCGCAATCCCTTCTCCTCCATTCTCCTCTCGGGATCTTGGGCACGCACGCACACGCGCCCAGCGTGAGTTTTAAGCCACCGAGTCCGGGACGCAAACCGCGGTCGACTATGTGGGAGTCTAGCGACATAGCCATTATGCTAACTGCTGGTCCCAAGACAGATAAAATTTAAAAGCAGAGCAATGTTTTACCTGGATTATTGAATGTGTTTAAAACTAATTTGCCAAGTTGGATTTCTTTATTGAAATGTAAAGTTTGCATAAAGAAGTAAATGGAGATGAATGATATGCATAGATTTATCAAGCAGGCATTCTGGAGACTACAAACACAGCTCTTTCCTTTGCTACATGACCTGATAGCACTGTCTAACCACGATAAATTATACTCACTAAAAATATCTTCCTGGCCCAGGCATGGTGCCGTACAATACCTTAAGGCTCTGCCATCCTGGAAGCCACGTGGAAGACCAGAATTCGGGTCCTGGGTCGACCTGCTCGTGCTGGGTGAGTGCTTGTGTACCATGATCCCAACTGGCTGCGAAGGCTGGGGAGGATCATGGCGTGAGGCCGTGTTGAGGGTTCTTATCACTCTCTCTCTTGATAATAAATAAAAATGACTTTTGTAAGTATTTTTTTATGACAATTTGCATGGAAAACCCAGCTATAGTATAAAAACAACAGGATTAGAATCTAGTTTTAAAGAAAAATATCATGAAGCACTATCAAACAGTAAATAAAAAAAGATAGCATTTAGTAACATTTTTCTAGCCGATGCATTCTTCCTTAATAAATCTTTAAGAAGAAAAAACATAGATGAGGATATATTAAAGGCATCGCTCACATCAAATCAGTTGCATCTGTGATATTTTTGGCTCATCTGAAAGAAGTGATAATGACGATGACCATCACTCGAGCACTCAGTACCTGGCAGGCACTGTGCGGAGCGATGCACTCACATTATCTCACGACAGCACCACGGGGTGGATACTTGATTCCTATTTAGATGAGGAAACGAAGCCAAAACTGTCTTGCACTGTATCAAAAAGGAATTCACTCTGTTAGCTCCAAATTAAATAAATCTGCATTTTGATTGAAACAAAGCAAGGGACCAGCAGATGTCATAGCAGTTATACCACTGGATTCCTACATGGCCGACTGAAGTTCAAGTCCTGGACCCAGAGGCTTCAAAATCATGCTGGGTGTGTGTGTGTGCATGCCAGAAACTCCTGAAGGAGAATGGAGGAGAAGGGACTGCGGCATGGCCATCCCCCCTGGGGGATGATTTCTAACTTTCTGTCTCTCTGTCTCTGACTCCTCAGTGAGTGCACATGCCCTACAGGAAAAATCTCTCTCAAAAAAAAAAAAAAGCTACTTTGTAAACACATTCATGCATAGAATCATAAACATATTCATGTTCAAGTTAAACTTATTCCTTTCTACACTTTAAACATGAAACACAGAGTTTGACCATTAGCACACGTGTACACAATGCCTGAAAGACCAACCATGACACCGGACCTGCGAGAAAGAGCCAAGTAGATGCTTCACGTCCTTTGCCTGCTTCAAAGCTATACAGTGCTAGTGAGTATTAGATACTCCCCAGTGACACTCAAAAATGCCTCTCTTTTGAGCACATATTATCCTTCCAAATCAGATTCTTAAATCTGTCATTTCTCAGGATCCAAGTCAAACGCAAGTCACACTGATCGTCCTCAGACCTGCTGCTGGCTAGATCTCCAAACCACTGAACCAAGCGAGAGCAGTAAGGAGAAGAAATGCAAGAGCCTATTTTAAATTGTACATCTCCAGGGCGGCTTCTCTTTTTTCTAACCAAAGCTGTCTATAATGCTACTTAGGCCATAAAGTCAACACGGAGGTTTTAGTGAGGGTAGCCTGGTAGAAAGTTGTGGAAATCGGTCTCCATAGACATAAACAACTCAGGTTGGCTGAGATTGCTCAGGCTCTCGAGTCCTTTGAGAAGAAGTGAAAAGTTGCCCTCCTCCTCAAAATCAACTCGAAAGCTCTGCTTTCAAACCAGAGTCTGTGAGAGGCGCTGACCAACGGCGATGACTCGTCACACCAGATGGATGAGAGTTTACTGTAAGAACCACGAGCATAGGCAGAGAGCCATTCCCGCGGCCAGTTTACACGTCCACCCATGCTAAACACCAGCAGGCAAGGGCCAGAAGTGACCAAGTGCCATGCTAGCCAGAGTGATGTGCAATTAGAACAAAAGTAGGATTTTTGTGTTTTCAATGTTTACTTCTTTTCCCATCTTTTTATGTTTTTTTCTACTTGCTCAAAGAACCAAACCAAATACCACAGTCACATCTAATAGTCGACATTCTAGCATGGAACAAAGGATCCCTAGCATTAATTATAAATATAAATACAAGATTTAACATCGTGTCAAATTTCGTCCTGACCTCTCCTAAGTTGAGGGATTGTCCTTTGTGGGAGTACCTTCTGCGAAGCCTGTTTGGAAATGCTTGCATCAGCTTTGGAGCCAGAGGCTCCCCCTCGAGGCCACCCTGTGGTGAGCAGCAGCAGGGTAAGGAAACTGTCCACACGTAGGGAAGGGGCCTGGTGAGCAATGGGGGCTCAGCGCAGGTTACCAGAGAACAGGGGTGTGAAGAAACAGAGGCCCGATGAGTGTGGGGGCCAAAGCCGGAGGAGGAGGCTGTCCGCGCACAGCAGGTGGCAGGGCGTGGTAGGGGTGTCAGGTGGAGAGGTACCCACGTGAGGTGGGGGGAGCACAGAAGGTTGGGGGGGGGTATGAGGACCCTGAGCAAGGTGAGGAAGGTGCCCAGGACTGAGGGCCTGTGTGAGATGAAGGACATGCAGGCGGGAGGCAGGGGAAGGGGCTAACCTAACAGCCCAGCACAGGCTGTCCCAGAGAGGGGCCGAGCAGCCACGTGCAGGCCAGGAAGCGCACACCCAGGACACAGTATCAGAGCCGGCACAGGGTGCCATGGGACCCAAATGGGGGACGGCCATGGCAGCGGCTCACAGATCAGCAGAGGTGCAGTGGGGAGGCGATGGGAGCACAGTGGGGAAGAGGTTTGCGGGGGTTGGTCAAGTCCTCGAGAAATGTTCTCAGTATTGGACGAGAAGCTGAAGATGTCATGGTCAAGAACTTAAAAACAAAAACAAGAAACAAAGCAGGGATGGGAAAAGTTCCCGCTTGGATTTTGAGGCTACACAGCGAACGCGACACAGGACACATGTCGGCAGTATGACTGATGACTAAGACCGTCACAAATATCAACGTGCCTCCCTGGAAGTCGAAACTATTCATATCCCAAGAAGCTCCCATAGCAACATACCTGGAGAAGGAGCCTTTCGAAAGCCAGGAAGTTGTCCCACTTGGCTGTCTGCGGGTGTTTCAGAGTCTGAACCGTGGCCAGCCCCAGCTGTAGGAGCCCACAGTGATTCATTAGAGCGCTGAGGTTGTTCTTGAAGAGCTGAATGTAGGATGTGAGCTGGCCTGGCGTGACTCTCCCTGGAGAAACATAACAATGAATCAGGGTGCCCTCTTCCAAGAGTAGCAGAAATCATGAGGCGGCCATTAATAAAACCACTGTCATGTATTTGCTCAGAACTTCACAAGCGCCCCTGAGCTATCACGGCTCATGCAATACAGTAACAACAGCAAAGCTGATACTAACATGCACCTGCACTTTACAGTGAGACAACTGGTGTTAAGGGATCTTGCCAAGGCCCACTGCTAGTAAAATTCATTTTATAGGAGCCAGTGGGTGGCATGGTGGTTAAAGGAACTGGATTCTCACATGGCTGACCATGGTTTGAGTCCCAGACCTGACAGATTACATTCTCACCCTCTCTCTCTCACTGTCTCTCTGATGAGCACATGTGCCCTATTGCAAAATTAGAATACTAATAAAAATAATTAAAATTAAATAACAGTTCCACAAAAAAATTCATTTTTTAAATTGTGTTTTTGGGTTTTGTTTTTTGTTTTTTGGGTTTTTTTTTTTGCTATAGGGCGCATGCACTCACCAGACAGAGAAAGACAGAGAGACAGAAAGCGAGAAATCACTCCCCAGGGGGGTGGTCACGCTGCAATTCCTTCTCCTCCGTTCTCCTCTCGGGATCTTGGGCACGCACGCACACGCGCCCGGCGTGAGTTTTAAGCCACTGGGTCTGGGAGGCGAACCGTGGTCGACTACGTGGGAGTCCAGTGACATAGCCATTACGCCAACTGCTGGTCCCAGAAAAATTCATTTTATAATTCTGAAATACCCTATAAAAAAGCTTTCCATTAAGGCACACAAATCTCTGTTGAGCTCAACTTGGAGTACGTCTCTATGACCTAAGATATAGTCATTGAGGTGGTGAGAGGGTATGATTTCTAATTGTGTGTGTGTACACAAAATTAAGAGAGACACCTTTTATGAATGTAGCTAAAACTTTATCACTGACATAGTTCCTGACAATGTTCTTGAGGACAAAAGCTGTCTGTTAAAGGGAACAAAGATTTATGAGGACCCAGGGTGGCAAAGACAGGACAATGAGAAGTCAGAAAAGAGTTTGGTATGGGGAACAGAGCATGTCTGCTACGGCGATCACCCAGACGCAGGACAAGAGAACCCACCTCAGAAAAGGCTGGAGACGGCACTGCACACGCACGCATGCACGCACACACACACACCCCCCACACACCACGCACACACACACACACCACACATACCACGCACACACACACACCCCCCACACACCATGCACACACACCCCCCACACACCACGTATGCACACACACGCACACACCACACACCACGCACATACACACACACCATACACACCATGTGCGTGCACACACACACACATCCCACACACCATGCACACACACACTCCCCACACACCATGCATACACATACCCCCCCCACAAACACACAACCCACACACCACGCGTGCGTGCACACACACACCCCCCACATCCCAGGCACACACACACACACCCCACATCTCAGGCACACACACACACACCCCACACCCCAGGCATACACACACACCATACACACTGCGCCCCCCACCACATCCCCCCCCACATCCCAGGCACACACACACACACCCCACATCTCAGACATACACACACACACACACCACACACACACACACACACACACACACCCCACATCTCAGACATACACACACACACACACCACACACACACACACACACACACACACACACACACACACACAGCCCCCACACACAGCTGAAGGTTCTATCCTTCAGAGCCCTTAGGCCCACCCTTTGCCTGTGGCAGTCCTCAGGCTGAGTTACCCGCATTCTCCAGTCTGTAACATTTCATTCCTGCCTATGCAAAAAGCTCCCAGACACCAGATTCCTCCCGTGAGGCAAGAAGGCAACAGGGCCAGAGGTGCGTCACTAGGTCATCCCTGCATGCCTCCCATGCCATGTGCAGCTTGCTCTTTGACACTGAAATTCAAGTTTGTCTGTCTGCTCTGTTGTTTTTAAGTAAGAGGTAATAAAGTCACCACATTTATTGGGCACCTTACAACATGAAAGTGCTCACACAAACAGGCCCTGTTCCGACATCGGGGCAGCTCCACGAGGCGGCAGAAAGGCGTGCACTCTACCTCACACCCACCTGAGGTGCTAGGAGCTGGGTCTCACCCAGTGTTAATTTTTTAAGAGAGATTTTTGCTACAGGGCAAGTGCCCTCAGAGATACAGAGACAGAGAGACAGAAAGCAAGAAATCACCCTCCACGGGGGATGGCCACATGATAATACTTTTTCCTTCATTCTCCTCTTGAAATTCTGGGCATGAACACACGCACCCAGCATGAGGTTTAAGCCAACAGGTCTGGGACCAAACTGGTCAATTACATAGAAGTCCAGCAACATAACCATTACGCCATCTGTTGGTCCCAATAAATGTTTTTTTTTTTTTTTCAAAAAACCTAAAAGCTCACAACCTTTTTTTTTTATCATTTTATTAACTTTTTGAAAAAATTTAGGATTTTGGAGTCCCTTATTACCAGTTTATCAGGGTAAACAACTAAGAAAATGAGACCACAACACAGCAAGATCCTGTTTAAACGACCCCCCCCTCCCCATCCTCCCTACCAACAGGGCCAGCAGATGGTGTGGTGGCTGAGGCAGCTGGACTCCCGCATGGCTGACCATGGTTCAAGTCCTGGACCTGGTGGCTTGACAATCACGCCGAGCATGTGTGCATGCATGCCCAAAATCCCAGGAGGAGGGTGGAGGAAAAGGGGTTGCAACATGATCATGCACACATGCCCTATGGCAAAAACCTAAGAAAAATGGAATAAACATATTTTATTAAGAAAAACACACACACACACACACACAAACCCCCCCCACACTACTAAATACACACACACATTTGTGAATATACATATGTTTGACATTTTTAAACTTTTTAATTCTATTTATTTCTTCCATGAGAGACAGAGAGAGAGAGACAGAGAGACAGGTATCCCCATCAGGATCGCCATGCTGCAATCCACCCCCAGCTCCTGCCAGCCCAGACCATGGGCACACACATGTACCCAGTGTGCTCAAGGAGGTCTGTGCCATGAACCCAGGACCTCTGGCTCACGGGTCTAGCTGCACCAACCACTGCTGCAGTACCATCTGGGCTCTCCAAGTCTGGAATTTAATCACGACTTTCCAGAAAAATAAATGGAAGTCAACTAATTAATTAGCAAAAATGCTATAATGAGACTAGCACCTTGAGTAAAGCTTCATAGTTCATACCCACTAAAACAGCAAGTAATAGGACCAGCAGTTAGCATAATGGTTATGTTGCTGGAATCCCATGTAGTCGACCGCGGTTCGAGTCCCGGACCCGGTGGCTTAAACTCGCGCCAGGCATGTGTGCATGTGTGCCCAAGATCCCGAGAGGAGACTGGAGGAGAAGGGATTGCGGCGTGGCCATCCCCCTGGGGGGTGATTTCTTGCTTTCTGTCTCTCTGTCTGTCTCTGTCTTTCTGGCGAGTGCATGCACCCTATAGTGAAAACCTCTCCTCCCCCCAAAAAAAAATCAGTAAATAACTAGACCCAGGTGCTAGACAGGTAATGACCATTAACTCACACTTTCCATTTAGGAAAAAGTACTTGTCAAGCAGATTTAAGAAGATTTTAAAATGTCAAGCCAGAAAGTTTTGGAACACATTTTTAAGAAAAGCTTGTTCTATATCAAGAATATACCATATATAGCAGCTTTTTGAAAGGTTACAAATTAACTTTAAAAATATTTTTTCCAGACAGCTCCTGTACTCGCTGAGAAGTAGTTGTCAAGTAATAAAAGCTATTAGGTTTCATTTGTTACATTTTCCAAGAAAGAGAAACAGGCTTCTGATTTCAACTTAGCTAAGAGAAATACACTAAACTTTAGCAAATGTCAATTCTATACATTTTTTTAAATTCATTAAAAACTCTTGGGTAAAAAGATACAGATTTGGAAAGTAAAAGTATTTAATATTACATATTAATACTCTCTGGGAGCCTTACGATATTGAATTTGATAGAATTCAAGTACATTATGGAGCCTATTCTTCCAATTACTTCAGATACTTAACAAATTATAGCTCTCTCAACATGATTTGTGGTTTGGCAAAATACAAGCAAAGTATCTACACTTACATCATTCTTCCTTGGCATGTTTAAAATAAAGAATGCATTATTAGTGCCAGGTTTGATTTCATCCTAACACCGATGAAAGGAGCAAACCGTCAGAAATGTTGACTGGAACAGTGTACTTGGCGATTAAATTTAAAAATTAAAAAAACCGTCTATAAGAAATGATCATCCTGTCTCTGCACACCTATTATTGACCGTATTCCTGAAGAAATGACTAAGAAAGCCGCGTGTGTAATTTAAGTAAACACATGTTTTAAGATGTGCTTTCCCAGAAATCGAATACCAGCTTTTCATTTTGGCCGTTTCAATCATGTCATAGTATGATAAAGGCAAGGCTACTAAAACATGTACGTGTAACATGTTCTGGTAAAACCTGGCTCACGTACCACCGGCAAACGACAGGTCAGCGTGACAGGGAGGTCGCGTCTGCTCCCTGGCGATTCTGTCCCGAGGTAACTGTGCTGTGCCATCATGTCACAGCAGTGGGAGGGACACAGCGAGCCGCCAGAGACGGAGTACTGTGTGACCTGCCCGTTCGGCCCAGCCCTCCTGGCTCTGGGGACCACCAGCCCCACCCGGGAAGTGCTTGTTGGACTCACCGTGACCTTCCGTAAATTCTGCCTTTGCCTCTCCAACTCAACAAGCCCAGGTCCTCTTATGCTCCGTCCCAACCAGCTACCTTGAAAGTTCTGTATTCATTACAATATTATTTATAGAAATAGGGCAGGCCTGC